CTCCACCTGCAGCTCCTCCCCGTCCATCTGCTCCTTCTCCAGCAGGATCTCAGCCGTGCGGTGCAGCACTGAGATGTTGTTCTGGATCAGGTCCTTGGCCCTGCGGTACGCCCGGTCCACCAAGCTCTGATGTTATGCGATTGGGAGGGGCAGGAGGGGATGGGAGTGAGGCATGTGTGATGCGTGGGAGTGGGAAGTGGGAGTGTGTCATGAGGCTGGGAGGCTCTTAATTTCATCAAGCAGCGTTTACTGGGGCTGCTGCCTGGGCAGTTGCGGGGGTCGCTGCTGCGCCTGCTGCAAACCCAAAATAACATCGTCCTGCCAGGCGAGGGATCCCTCCGAGATACAGATGCCGCTGCGGCTGCGCCAGTCTGACAGGGAGTGGCGGGGCCCACCCCCTTCGACGTCTCCAACCACCCACACTCTGCCCCGCACCTTGACCTCCTTGTCGATGATATCCTGCGTTTCGCCCGAGCAGTTGGCGGGCTGCGCCATCTGCGCGCCCAGGAAGGACCCACCGCCGGACTGGCTCCAGGCTACCTGGCCCAGGGAGTCTGAGAAGCCCATCTGCTCCACCATCATGCGCGCGACGCGCGTGACCTGCTGGAAGTCGCCGCTGGCGCCCGTGGTCACGTTGTCCGGGCCCAGGATCAGCTCCTCCGCCACACGACCCCCCAGGGCCACCGACATCTGGTTCTCCAGGTAGGACCGGCTGTACAGCCCATTCTCCAGGCGCTCCTCGCTGGGCGCGAAGAAGGTCAGGCCGCCCGCGTTGCCGCGCGGCACGATGGAGATCTTGCTCACCGCGTCGTACTCGGGCATCAGCGCGCCCACCTGGGGAACGTTGGGAGGGGGGGGGGGTGTTGATGAACTGGCATGATGTTTGCGTAGGGCAGATCTACATTGTGCTCACCTGTAGCCAGGGCTGGCGCATCCCGCTTCATCAGCCACAGGAAACGGGGAAACCACTCCAGGCAAGCAGCCATGAAGCAACGCTGCAACACCCCACTGGTCTCAGTGCACTGGGCATTGTGCGCAGCCCGACAGCCTCCTCTCGCCTTCCTCCCCCCTCACCAGGGCGTGGCCACCCTCGTGGTAGGCCACAAGGCGCCTCTTGGACTCCGACACGACGGCGCCCTTCTTCTCGGGGCCAGCCACCAGGCGCTCGAGCGCATCCGCGATCTCGTCCTGGGGAGTGGGGGAGGCACGCGGCGGGCGGGGATCGAGGGGCTTGGAGGAGATGCATACCACCTACACACGCCTTCACGCCTGGATGCCCACAACTGCAACCTCAGCAGAGCTGTCAGTGTGCACTGCAGCCCAGAACCTATTGGTTTGATACCCCGAAGTAGCAAGCACACCCTATTCTCCCAAGACCCCCCCCCCCCCACACACGCATTGCACCAACCTTGCTGATCTCGCTGAGTCCCCGCCTCGCTGCCAGGATGGCCGCCTCATTCATCAGGTTCGCCAGGTCGGCACCGGTGAAACCTGGGGCATGGACATTGCGGACTGTTGATCGAGATACCTCTAGGGGACGGAAACAGCACGACACCAGCTCAACGGTCACCCTCCTTCTCAGCCCAGGCGCGTCACCAACAATACGACCCCACCCACCAGGCGTCCGGCGCGCGACCTTGTCAAAGTCGACGTCCTTCCCAATCTGCTTGCCGCGGGAGTGCACCTGCAGGATGGCGATCCGGCCAGACACGTCGGGCCGGTCCACGGTCACCTGGCGATCGAAGCGGCCTGTGTGGTGGGAGGTTGAAAAGAGGCAAAGGGGGGGGGATTCCTGGTGAGGCCAGTCCAGAGCGCCTGTCGACATCTCGACAGGTCAGCCGCAGCACCCTCGATCAAGGAAATTACGCACGATGAGCACAGTCCCAAAAACATTCAGCACAGGCCTGGGAAGATGATGGAAAATCTGCAATCGCAGCAGCCCATCCATCACCCCTCTCTTGCCCCATTGAGAATGAGACACCCCACACCCAGCACCCCATCACACCTGGGCGCAGCAGGGCGGAATCCAGCACATCCGGCCGATTGGTGGCAGCCAGGACAATGACCCCTGTGTTCCCCTCGAAGCCGTCCAGCTCCGTTAGCAGTTGGTTGATGGTCTGCTCGCGCTCGTCGTTGCCGCCGCCCATGCCTGCACCGCGCTGGCGCCCAACCGCGTCGATCTCGTCGATGAAGATGATGCACGGCGCCTTGGCCTTGGCCTTCTCGAACAGATCGCGCACGCGCGAGGCGCCCACACCCACGAACAGCTCCACAAACTCGGAGGCCGCGCAGGAGAAGAAGGGGGTTCCCGCCTCGCCCGCCACCGCCTTGGCCAGCAGGGTCTTGCCGGTGCCTGGCGGAGGGGGTGGCGGAGGGACACTGATTGGTGGTTGTCACCCTGAGACCTTGAGCATGCAGTGGCAGCAGCGCCCACTTTCTATGGACACGTGCTGACCTGTGGGACCAGGAATTCGATCGGCAGGCAGACACACGTCTGCCCATCGACTGCCACGGCGTCGGCAACACCACGGCACCAATCCCAGCACACAAGACACCCCAAACACCAGACCATGAACACACCTGGGGGCCCGACCAGCAGGGCACCCTTGGGGATCTTGGCGCCCAGCTTGGTGTACTTGTCCGGGTTCTTCAGGAAGTCGACCACCTCCTGCAGCTCCAGCTTGGAGTTGTCGCACCCCGCCACATCATCAAACTTGACCCCGGTCTCCGGGATCTCCGCAAACTTGGACTTGGACTTGCCAAAGTCCATGGGGCCGCCCATGCCGCCGCCACCAAAGCCGCCGCCCGCGCCGTCGCCGGAGCGGCGGAAGAGGAAGAACAGGCCGGCGAAGGCCAGCAGGGGGAAGAGCAGGTTGCCCAGCAGGGACACAAAACCACCCTGTGGTGAGGGTGAGGGTGAGGGTGGCGGGGTGTTCAGGCTGTGGTCGCCTGGTTTGACCTTGTGGTGAACGAGCACGCTCCTCGAAGGACTCACCCCCGCCACACGTTTTCAGCGCAGCACATGACCCTTTGATGTCCCCCCACCCCAACACACACACACACCTGCTGCTCGCCCTCCGACACCGAGATGTCCACCCCATTCTTGGCCAGGCGGTCCACCAGCTCCGGGTCGTTCACGGCATTGACCAGCGCCCTGCGCCCGTCGATGGCGGTGAGCTGCAGCTGGGTGCCGTCCTTGGAGAAGCGCACGCGCTCGATCTTGCCAGACTCTACGGCGTTGATGAAGTCGGAGTAGCGCCACTGCGTGCCCTCCGGCAGGCCCTGGTCAGCCTTCTTTACCTCGGTGCCGTACAGGGGCGGCGCGGACTGTGCGTCGCCAGGTGACAGGGAGGTGGTGGAGGGCGCGGTGCCGGGGCGCTCCACGTTGGTCAGGGTGGGCAGGGGGGGGGTCTGGTAGTCCGTCGCCGCCAGGGCGGGGCTGGCAGAGGCCAGCAGGCTCACCAGGGCAGCCGCGGCCGCGGCCTGCTGTGCTGCTGGCCCTGGTGCCTGGGGGCCCTGTGGGCGTGGAGTGGGGGGAGAGACTGTCACATGCATGCACCTTGCATGCCGCGCGGGCACATGCGGCGTGGTTGAGGCCATGCCAGAGCGCGTACACCCCCCGGAGCTCCAGGACCGCACACCCGTCTCCCCGCCAATCACGCCGTTTCACGCCATCCCGCACCCAGCCCTGCGAGGGATTCCATCGTACCTTTGCTGCGCGGACAATGGTCCTGACCAGCGGGCGCCCGGCCCTGACGGGAGCGAAGGGCTGGGTCCCACGGAACCTCACCCCCACGGGCGTGGTGCCGAGTACTGTTGGGCTCTGCATGGACAACATAATATCGTTCACGGGGCCGAAAATGAAAATAATAAGACATCGGTGGCTGGACACTGTCCCTCTTGGGCGCTCTGTGACCAGGCACTCCGGCGGAAGGTGTCGATGGTGTGAGAGCGATCTAGTGGACCACTTCCCGCCTCATATTTGGGTGCGGTGGATCACGTGAGCATGGGGCACCCCGGATGCCGTGGGAAACCATGCCTCCTGTCACCTTGAACGAATCCTGCCTGTCGCTTCCTTACACCGCGCCGGGGGTCAGAGTGTGTGGGTGACGACCTCCCTGCCCTCCCCGCCCACCCCCAGCACCTGCCCCGCCCAGGCAGCGGCCAGCAGCTTCCCCTCACCCGCCAGCGTGTGCAGCGGGATGCTGGCCCGCACGTCCCACAGCCGCGCCGTGCCGTCGTGCGAAGCGGAGGCCAGCAGGTGCTCCCGCCCGCCGTGCCAGCACAGCGCCGACACCCAGCCGGCGTGGCCGCGCAGGCGCTGCGGCGCCACGTCCTCCCCCCGCTCGCGCGGGTCCCACAGCCGGAGCGGCGCCTCCGCGCCCGCCACCGCCAGCGCGCCGCCCGGCCCGCCCGCCGCCACCGCGTACACCGCCTTGCCCGTGGTCAGCGTGTCCACGCCCGCCCCCGTCTCTGCGTCCCAGATGCGCACGCTGTGGTCCCAGGAGCCGCTCGCCAGCCGGCCTGTGGGTGGCACGGGTGGAAAGGAAGGGGGGCGGGTGCGTGGACGTTGTGTGTGCTTTGGATGGCGGCCTCGGATGGAAGAGGAAGGGTAAGCTTTGGCCAGGAGGGCGCACGAGGCGCGCAAGGCTCCCCGCCAGGAGCGCGCTGGCCACGGGGCGGCTGCGGTCCCCCGCCCGGCCTCCTCTTTCCACCTGCCACCATCCCCACCCCCTTCCAGAAGAAACAACACGCACCTTCCCGTGTCCAGCTCAGCGAGGACACGGCGCCGGTGTGCCCCGCCAGCTCGGCGGCGCTGGCGTCCAGCACCGGCGCGGGTGCGGCCGCCTCCGCGCCCTCCGCCTTGCCCACCCGCCGCTTCTTTGCGGCCGCGGGCGCGGGCGCGCCCGACGCGGCCGCCTCGGCCGCGTCGGCGCTCCGCCACAGGTGCAGGCCCCGGTCCCAGCCGCCGGAGGCCAGCAGGGCGGAGTCCGGGGAGAAGGCCAGCGCCGCCACGGCGTCGGTGTGCCCCCTCAGGCTGACCAGCTGCCGGGGGGCCGCCGGCACGGCACCCCCAGGCCCCAGCTCCCACACGCCCACGCAGCCCTCGTCGCCGGCGGCGGCCAGGCCCAGGCCGCCCACCGCCAGGGCTTTGAGCGGGCGCGCGCTCGCCACGAACACGGAGGCGACGCCGCCGTCGCTGCGCACGCACCGCACGGCGCCGTCGTAGCTGGCGCTGATGAGGCCCTGGGCACCGCCGACCAGGGATCCGATCCTGGGTGATGAGAGGAGGGGTGGGTGTGGTTGAGCAAGGGGTCTGGAAGCGCCGGGCGTGAGGAGCACGCCGCCGGGGGCGGCTTGGGTGTGCTCGGGGACGCCTGCACACCGCAGGCTGGAGGTAAGGAGAGCAGTTGGCCTACCCATAACCCCTGCGCACCAGTCGTCGTGGGGGGTGCGGGGGCCGGGGCTGGGCGGCAGCTGCAGGGGGATGTACTCGATCTCAGTGACCACCTCGGCCGAGGCTCCGCGGGCAGACAGGTGCTCCTGCAGCGTCCCCCTCAGCAGCTCGTGGTTGATCAGGAAGTCAAATGGTTTGGCCATCTCTGTGGTGGGTCCGTGCTCAAGAGGTGTCTCATGAACCCAGGTTTCATGTGCAAGCCGCATGACCCATGGTATAGCCCAAGGGTGGTCCTGGAGCACCCTGATTGCCCCTCTGTCGAGCAGTGGTACCCACTCATCCCGACATCCTCGAGCATCGATTCGTCGTCCATCAGACGCAGTGCGGAACCCTGTACAACTCACCCAGGTCCAGCAAGTGGTTGATGATTTGCGACAGGCCATACCGGGTGAGGTTGGCTGGCACGGTCTGAGGGGACAGGCAGGACCGATGCAGTTGAGGAGAGGCACGTGCATGATAACTTCACAATAATACATGCGCTTCTCGCCCAGCCTCCTCACCAGGGCAGCTTCAGGCACCCGCAGCTCCTTCGGGAGCTTCGTGACGAACTTGCATGTTAGCTGTGCACCCTCGTCCGCCACCTCGGAAGCGTCCACCATGATGTATGGAAGGTGCAATATACACAAAAGAAATGGTAATGGCCTGTAATAGGTCATGTCCCGATGCATTGAGAGAGGGAAGCGGTGTAAAGTGCCGACCGCCCCGTGACGTGGCATTGCGCGCGCTAAATTGAGAGCCCCTGTGTACGGTGTACCTGGGCCCAACGCTTGATCACAGGCAAAGACAATCATTCGCAATACCGCTGCATTGTGCGTACTCTGCGATTCTGATCCCCGCTTAGGCCCCGCCTGCCGGGCGATCCTTCAACTCTGAGAGTGACTGCACCACCGCTCCCAAGCGAGGTAGAATCACGATTTGATCGCCAATACAGGGACCTGATTGCCCACAAGCAATGCCTTCGGACGCCCAGGAACGTATTGCGCGTCTCGAAAGGACATGGGAGTCCCTGTGCGGGCGTCTGGCCGCTCTGGAGATGGCCACGGGGCTGCCCACTCCCCCTGCCGTGAAGCCATCCCCCCTAGCAGCCTGCATGCGTCCTGAGGACACCACCCCAGCCGAACACATGGGAGAGGGCGCCTCCCCCACTCAGCTGCGCCTGGCGCAGGAGCTGCTATCGCGCGGGGTGACCCGCTTTGCCTTCCAGCGAGTGCCCGAGCCCTACTACTCCTGGCCGCTGGAGGGCAGACGGCAAGCGCTGGGTGCAGCGAGTGTCTACCACCTGTGAGTGATTGGAGATGGTTGTAGGACTTGGGATTTGATTGCATGGGGGTCTGGCGCTTTGTTGGCAGCACGATGAGCACACCTCCATCCATCATTGCTTGCTCTCCCCCAGGTGCAAGAGTATGGTGATGGTAAATACCAAGGCCCATGCCAGCGTGACAGACTGCTCCGACCCCCTGAACCCCAAGTACTACATGATCATCGTCCAGGCAAGCAGCTTGGGTGAATGGGAATTGTCTTGGTGCTTGTCTAGGAACTTGAATGGAGATGTCGGGCGCTCCACTGTTGTCGAGACCCTGGCAGCACGCATCGGCCAGAGCGCCTTGCAGTTCATTCCTCAACAGGCCACCCACTGCTAATCCTCTCCGCTTGCAGTATGCTGCGCGACTGAATGCAGAGAAGCTCAAGGCGTGGGCACATGCGCTCAAGAACAGCGAGATCCCCAAAAAGTAGGCTGGCGCGTGAGGTGTAGGCTCTAGGGACTTGGGATTATTATATGAAGAATCCATGTATTGTCCAAATCCTATCCCTCATCAACTGATGACGGCAAAGGGTCCCGCACGATACTTACCCGAGTGGTATAACAACATCCCATGCAGGTATTACAACCTGCGCCTTGCACCCGAAGAAGATTCTGGACGGCTGACGGGGTTCATCCACAACGCCGTCACGCCCATCGGGTCCCTCGCCCAAATACCAACAGTTTTGTCGCACAGGTCGGGGAGGGCGAGCGGGTCCCCTGATATGTTGTTCCCAAACAATGCATTGTACATCGACACTGGCAGTTGTGCAACCATGTTGTTCCTGCCTGTGGCCAATGCCACTCCAAAAATACTGAAGGCTCCTACACATGAATGCCTGCAGGATCGCGGCCCTCCCAGAGGATACCTTCTTCTGGCTAGGAGCAGGAGAAGTGGATCTCAAAGTGGGCCTCTACGTCAAAGACTTTGTGCGTGCCTATGGCGCGCATGTGGTGGACTGCACCTACGACGAGGTGCCTGAGGACCTCCAGAGCATCTCGGACTGAGGTCTGGATGATGGCAGTGGCACGGTTTGCTTGAGTGGAATCAGTTTGTGCTCGTCATATTCGGCAGTGCTGGCCTGGGGAACTCCCGGATGAGTCCCCCTCCACACATGAAAGATGGTGCCGACCATACAGAGCACCCCTGAAAATGGCCACGTGAGCCAATCCTCATGCGAGGGGCGATTCCGGTAACGACCATTAGGCTCGACCAGCGAGTCCCTCTTGCGTCAGTTGTGACTCCCAAAATCATCTTCAGGAATGTAATGCGAGTCATGGGACTTACTGGACGCTGGAGGCGTCGCGCAGTGCCGATCCAGTGAGCATCGGGATTCCCACCCCGTCATGTGCCCCACCATGACTGGCTGGAGGGCCACGCCCCCGCATGCGGGACCGGCGTTCACCTTCAGGGCCTGGCACAGGGCGCTGGTCCCCTCCAGACACGGCGCATGCCTGCCCCGGTGCAGCAGCGTGCACACCTTCCAGTCCCCCGGCAGCCCGGTGTGGGGTCCCGAGGGGCAGCCCGGCCCGGGCTGCACCACACGCATGCTGACCAGCATCGGCATGTCTCGCCGGGAGGCCCAGCGCATGGAGGCCCTGTACCCGGCCCAGGACCAGACGGAGGCCATCCTGACCCTGCTGGCGGACGGGCCGCGGGTGCCGGTGCGCGTTCTGCCCGAGGTGCTGCTGGCCTGCCCAGACATCCTGGCCCTCACCCCCAAGGCCCTTGAGGAGCAGGTGCGGGTGGTGCGGGGTGTGTGGGAAGCAGTGCCTGGTGGACACAAAGCCACTCTCAGGAGAGGGCTTGACGCAGGCCCAGATGCACGGCTGGCCATGCCGGGACCAATGGGCCTGGCCAGGTCCTCGACTACCTCCGCCCCCCCCCGATCCAACGCTTCACCGCCTCCAGCCACACCCCTCCCCGTTCCCTCTGCAGATCGACTGGCTGCGCGGCATCTGGACCACGGGCCACGGGCTGAGCACGGCGGTGCAGGTGGCCCCCGACCTCCTCCTCCCCTCCTTCCCCGAGGTCTGGGCGGCGCGCCAGGCCGCGCTGGAGCCGCTGGGCTTCACCCCCGCGCAGGCGGAGGCCATGCTGCGCGCCTGCCCTACGCTCTTCACCGCGCCCGCGGACGAGGACGCGGTTCGCGACGCGCTGCTGGGCGCTGGCGTGCCCGAAGGGGACCTGGGGTCGCTGCCGCCGGCCTTCCTGGCCGCGCTGTCCCGCTCGCCCGCCTGCCTGCAGGCGCAGGGCGCCATGGCCCTACGCGCGCAGCTGGCGCGCCTGGCGGCCTGGGGCGTGCCGCACGCCGCCGCGCGCGAGGTGCTGGGCGCCTGCCCCGCCCTGCTCTCCACCCCGCCCGCCACGCTGGCCGCAGCGGTGGCGGCGCTGGAGCGCGCGGGGCTGGGTGGGCCCGCGCTGGCGCGGGTGATCGCCGGCTGGCCGGCCGTGTTGCGCGCCAACCCCAACACCATCAACCTCACGCTGTCCCTGCTGCGCTTCTGCGCCGTGCCCCTGGCCAAGGTGGTGGAGTCGCCCATCGTCTTCAAGCCAGACCCCATGGCCACTACCGGGCCGCGGCTGAGCTACCTGGCCACCTGCAACCCGCAGGGGTGAGGGTGTGCTTTTGTGCGCGCGCGGGGGGGGGGGGCCGGAATATCGAGGGACACTGGGCATCTAGGTGCGGACGCAGTGCCACGCCCAGGACTTTGCACCATGGGGCCGCTCGCCGATGCATGCTCTAAGAAGGAGAGGAGGGGTGGTGTCAGCAACTAGGTAACCCTTGGCCTAGTAGGAGTACACACTGATTGGACACTCCCATTCTTACGCGCCTCTCCCTCCCACACCAACAACACTCGTAGGTTGGAGAGGTACAAGCTGAGCAGCATTGTGACCACCTCGGACGAGGAGTTTGCGCGGCGCAGGACCTCCCAGCCCGTGGACGAGTACAGGTGCGCACGGTGGTCCATCAGGGGTGACATCCTCGCATTCTGTTCCCTACCTCATGCGCACCGTCGCTCCTGCCCCCGCCCAGCCATCACTTCGCACAGCCTTAACCATACACACACCCTGCCTACCTGACCTCACTCCTTCACCTGCCCCTGACATTATCCACACCCACTGGCTTACAATACAACAGGGTGTTCAAGGAGAGGTGGCTGCGCCTGACCTGGCAGAAGCTGATGGAGCGGGCGGGGAAGGGCGACGCGCAGGTCCCGCCCGACGGCGAGTCACTGGCGCGCGCCATCCGGCGCCAACTCCTCGCCCTGCCCCAGAAGGCTGAAGAGCCCCGCGAGGCGCCATGACGGCCCATTGAAGCAAGGATGACTCATGGGGGGTCCCTCGCCGCGTCGCCCGCAGCAGGAACCCCACCTCCCAGGGCGCCGCCGCCAGCCCCGCCCCCGCAACCCCAAAGTCACAGCCTCTGGTGGTGCACCCAGGAGTTGAAGAGGTGCAGCGCGCGCTCGGGCTGGGTGTATGGCACCATGTGGCCCGCCCCGCGCACCGTGGCGAAGGTCAGCCCGTGCGAGTAGCGCACCGTCCAGCCGCCGACCTGGCGGCTAGCGCTGGTCCAGGCCCGCCATGGCTCCGCCACCTCCAGGGCCAGGCCGTGGATCCAGGCGCGGGTGCCGGTCACGGGCACGATGGCGTCGACATCGCCTGTGCATGGAGAGGGGGAGAGCTCTTGCAGTTAGGGAGGGCGGTGCGTGGAATGCTGGCAGGACCCTGCACCTGCCTGTGAGGGTGCAGGCGCCCAGGCCCCGCCGGATCGAGGAGTGGCCCCAGGCAGGGTGCACATTCCTGTGCACCATTCTCATTGCCATCCCATGTTGAATTGTCAGTTGCTGTCATGGGGGGACCCCAGGGACGACCAGGGCCCTCCTCAGTGCCGTCGATCAAGCGAAGTGTGAGCAGCATGTACTTGAGAGTTAGGCAGGGCGACAGGGACTACATAACCCAGCCCAGCCATCTCCCAGAAAACTCCTCTCAGCTCACCGCTGTACACAAGGAGCTCCAGGTCTGCTTCTAGGAGGTGGTGCCAGACAGGGAGCATGGAGCTCAGCAGGTCCTCCCTGGTGAATGAAAAGGGAGGGACTCGGGTGGATGAGGCAGGCATCTGATGCGGCGGCGACGCGCTGGCGCCTGAAGCGTTGGGTTCCGAAGCCATACCAACGAGCAGCCCGCCCCCACTCAGCCCAGCGCCGCTGCAGCTGTCTGAGCCCTCCCTCTCCTGGAGACCCTCCCGCCTCTTCCCTAGCACCCTCCCGGCAGCCCACCTCGAGTACTGGATTTCATGCGTGCAGCCGGTCCAGCGCTTGGGCGCCAGGCCCGGCACAACGTGGAGGGCGCGCTGCACATCCTCCCTGTTCAGATAGGTTTCCACCTCGTTGTCGATACCTGTGAGGGCAGAGGGTGCAAATTATGTGGTGGATGGGGGGGTGCTGAGATCTGAGCACGTTGCCCGCTGAGATGTATGCAGGCCGCGGCCTTCAGATAATTAATTTGAAGGAGTTGTCACTCCACCTCTACGAGCCACGCCACCTCTCTCCCCGGCTCCTCTCACTCACATGGGTCGTACTTGTTCTTCAGCACCGCGGCAGCCGTGGACAGGCCCAGGGGGTGCCCCTTCAGCGCCCGGCCAAGCGCCAGCGCGGGGTTGGAGGCGTCGGGCGACAGGCACACGTCCGCAAAGATGTCGTAGATGTTGATGCCCCTGATCTGGTCCAGGGCCAGGCTCACGAACTTGTCACACTTGGGGGTGTTGACGGCGGTGGCGTTGAGGGTGGGGGCGAATTCCTATGGGCAGGGTGGGTGGGTGGGTGGGTTTGGGTCCAATAGGGTACAGAGGCAGAGGTGACAGGATGAAATAGACGATGCAGGCAATGCATTCGACCACTTTCAAGGTGACTCGGACCATCTGAACCTCTCCTCTCTACCCCACTTCCACCCAACCCCCACCCATCACACCCATCACACCCACACACAACCCACCTGTTGCAGGGGCCCGACACTCCCAAAGTCGCAGTACTTCTTGATGCCCTTGTAGGCGGTGAAGGAGATGAGGCCGTGGCTGAACCAAAACTCCAGGGCACCGTGGTTGTCCAGCTGGGCATCCGTCCAGGCGTTACCCACCAGCAGGCCCTTGAGGTTGATGGGGGGGGCATCGGCGCCTTCATTGCCCCTGAGGATCTCCAGCGCCAGGGTCGGGACGTAGTGGCCTGCGGGTGGTTGGAAGTGTGGGTGGCGAGGGCTGTGCCAGGCACCCTGAATGCCTAGGTCATGAACTTTGGGACAGTGGAACGCTCGTAAGCAGGTCTGGTCTTCCAAGACATCCTCCATTCCCACAGACCAACCATCCCGGGACTTACGCACCAGCATAACTCTCGCCCGACAGCCAGAACTTGTGGGAGCGGTAGTGGGGGAAGCGGTCGAACCAGCGCAGCAGGAACTCGTGGTTGTCCTCCGCCGTCCTCTTGTCGCCTGGGAATGTTGGACGAGTAAATGGAGTGAGCGCCTCACATCAAGATGGTGT